GTATGTATTTATTGCATTGGTTCGACCCAGCTGAACTTTTTGACCCTTGACCCTTCACCTTTTCCGGGTCGATTTTCAAAACATTGAGTATAATATCAAAGGATTTGGTGGGTTATAGGAAACACTAAATTAAGATGAATAATTTTACCCTCTTTGATTTTCTTAGGTATTTTTTCAATTGATAATTGTAAAATTAAAATACTTAAATTTTATTGTGTTAATTCATGAATTTGATTTAATTGAGGAAAAGTTTCATGCGTTGCCCCCCGCTTCTAAAAGTAATTTTGCCATCAACTATAATCCATGAGAGGCAGCTATGTGAGGTGGGGTTCGGTGATCATAGTCTTTGGAATTTGGGTCAATTCCATAGGATAAAACTCTTCTGAGAAAATCAGAATCTCCTCTCGCAACTAAGGTGCATAAGAAACTACTATCAGAATTATCAATCTTCAATAAGGCCTTCTCTCTAGAAATCAAAGAAGCAACCCCATAAGGAAACTATAAACATGCATCATATACTTTTTGTTTCATCAGATAGCATGTGTGGTCATAGAGGTAAGACTAAGGAACGGGGAATCAATGCCATGGTCAGATGAGAATGAATACACTTTTATCGAAATACTTTACTAGAATGCTAAAGCAAAAAAGTTATCATTTTCTACATTCACGGAAGACGAGTATGGAAAGATCAATCAAAATACAGTTGTTGCTACAAAATCTGATTACGGGATAGATAGATTGTGAGGTGCAATAAATGAAACACATACTTCTGCTTGGGCACCTGCCTCGAGACATGCTTGGAATTTATTATTAGGTTGTATTTTAATTTTTGTAGAGGGAAAAAAATATTCTTAAATTCACCAACTTTAAAAATGCATATATTAATTAATTATATATTAGTATCAAATTATTCTATTTTACCGAATAGAAAATTAATTGAATAAAATGTCATAAAATAATTTATATAGATTCTAAACCAAATGTGTTTTTAAAATTTTTTTTTCAGAAACAATTTTTCAAAATTATAAACCAAACGTGTTCTCTGAAATCTTAAAATAGACATTTAAAACAGAAAATTGAAAATAAATTTAAAACTCAAAATTGAAACGCAAACCAAACTCTACCTGAGTTTTTGGAAAAATGAAGCCAAATTGGGGCCTTATAACAAACAAAAATAAAAAACTTAAAAAGAAAAGAAGAAAGACCAAAAAAGAAAAAAAAATAAAAGGGATTTTATTCGGATCCAGGCTAACCCAACCCGGTTCGACGTACCAAACCCATAATAGTTTTTCACTTAATGGATCGGCCCATATATAAATTCTGAGCTAGGGTTTATCTTTTCTTCACAGCCTAAAAAGAGTCCCGCACCGTGAGAGGGAGGGAGGGGAGAGTGAGAGAGACTCAGCCTGGTAGATTGTTGCCACCGCCAGCAAAATGGTCAGCTATCATTAAACCTACAACTTTCATAGACCTTCTTATGCATACTTAAATTTTTATGTATGAATGTTGATATTGATTGGTTATTTTTTGTTTGCAAAAGAGCTTATATACAATAAATTGATGAAATAAGAACATAATTGGTTGGGTTCCAGATGAGAGATCGATAAGTTTTCAGATTGTTTTGTGTTTTTATTGGGTTTTTCATGGAAATTTTTTATTTTTCATTTTGTATTTCAGTTTTTAGTCGGTATTCATCGAACTATTTCTGTATTTGGATGACAGTTTAGTTGGGTAATGTATACAAAAATGCATGAATGTCTTGTAATTGTCATTTCACTTGTTTAAAATAATGCTTATGCTGCTAATCAATCACTGTAACTATATCCTTGCCTGTTCATATGAATAGATAATGAGGTTGCCCCAGTTTTTACGACCATATAACTAAAGAATATCTTTTCATTTAGTTTCTCAAAGAAATACCTCGTGAGATAATACAATGTGGTTGCTCTTAAGCATTACATGATGAATTTTGGAAAGAAGAGAAAGGAATTGAAACCTTTTAATGTTGATTGTGTTACTCTCCCCTTATTGTTTGCCCCATATCTTATGAAATTCTGCTTTTATTATCATGGCATTGCTTGTGCTTTTGTACTGCTGCGTCGAATTACAGGCTAGAGGTTTGAAGAAACACTTGAAGAGGCTCAATGCCCCAAAACATTGGATGTTAGACAAACTTGGCGGTGCTTTTGTAAGTAACTGTTCTGTTCTAGTTTTTGGTCTTTTCTGTTTTAATGTTTTTTTTTCCTTTTTATCTATATGATGGAGTTTATGCTGTCACAAGTCTACATCTTCATTTGTCTGGTTTCGTTAATCCTTTCGATGTATTTGTATAGGCCCCCAAACCATCTTCTGGACCCCACAAATCCAGGGAGTGCTTGCCGTTGATTCTTATTATGCGCAACAGGCTGAAGTATGCTCTAACATACCGTGAAGTAATTGCCATCTTGATGCAACGCCATGTCCTAGTTGATGGGAAGGTTAGGACGGATAAGACCTATCCTGCTGGTTTTATGGGTGAGCACTTACCATGTTTGTGTTCATTTTGAAGCTTTGTTTTTGGTTTGATTATTTAATATTCCAATGCTTGAATTCAAGATAATATTTAGTACTTCGCGTGCCAAAGGGTTCAATTTGGACGGTGCTTTTGTAAGATTTATATGCTTTTGGCTCGACTTAACGTTCTGATGAAGTTATGTAATGGAAAATTGAGGATTCTTGCAAAATTACTGTCTCAAGTCATCCTATTTCATCAGATCCGGGGTGTCATAGGGTTCAGAAGGATGAATGTGCCATTCCCCTTTCATTATGATACCAATCCGCGCCAAAGCAATAGAAACTGTTTATATTTTCGTCGTAGAAGATTTTTTGAAAACCACTAAATGGGACAATTGGTTGAATTGGTGCTGCAAAGTCTTTTGCTTTACTTGGTATATTTGTTCATTATCTTGATATATTCTCCCTTCATACCTTGCTGCTAGATGTTGTTTCTATTCCGAAGACCAACGAGAATTTCCGTCTGCTCTATGATACCAAGGGTCGATTCAGGCTCCACTCCGTCAGGGACGAGGAGGCCAAGGTCTGTTTGTGTAACCCTCATCCATTAGTTTGTCATTGTGCATAAACTTCTCTTAATTTATGTAGGGGACATGTCTATCTGAATCTATACATATTTGTACATGCTCTTTACCATTGGAGAAAAATGGACTAAATAAGCTCCTGTTTATGCCCATTATTTTATTGAAGTGAGTTTTGTAATAGCGAATTGGTGGAGAATGTAGTTAAAAAGTAAGAAAAAGTTTTGGACTTACATGCAAAATATGTGTGGCTGAAAATGAGTTTTGAAATAATGGGAATCAAACATGCCTAAATGAACATGTCTACTATTTTTTATATTGCATTGGTGAATGTGGAGAGTATCATTAAGCACCAAATTTACACGCTATTAATGAACATGCAAGGCATTCTATGCTTCAGTGCTCTATCATTCTTTCATTGATTTAACATGATAAGAGAATCTTACACGTTTTTATGTATATGGTACTATAGTTTAAACTTTGCAAAGTCCGATCAGTCCAGTTTGGAAAGAAGGGGATTCCCTACCTCAACACCTATGATGGAAGGACAATTCGCTATCCAGACCCGCTTATCAAGGCAAATGACACCATTAAACTTGACCTTGAGGCAAACAAAATTGTTGACTTCATCAAGTTTGATGTTGGGAATGTTGTGATGGTGACTGGTGGAAGAAACAGAGGACGTGTTGGAGTCATCAAGAACCGTGAGAAGCACAAGGGAAGCTTTGAAACTATCCACATCCAGGATGCTACTGGGCATGAGTTTGCTACCCGTCTAGGCAATGTTTTCACTATTGGGAAAGGTACAAAGCCCTGGGTCTCTCTTCCAAAGGGCAAGGGTATCAAGCTGTCCATCATCGAGGAGGCCAGGAAGAGGCTTGCTGCCCAATCAGCGGTCACAGCATAGATTATATCATTTGAAGTTCCCTTTGCGTCGTGCTAATTTATTTTGAAATTCTCCGTTCTGGATGTGTTCTGGTTGATGACATTGTTGGTTATCATGGGATCTATGCCAGAAAATCTATGTTTTGATTCAAATGCAATTTTGACCTCTTATACTGGAAGCTAATATTTCTAATGTTGTGTGGTTTTGTTTAGTTCAATTCAAATCTGAAATCTATTCTACGGATGTTAAATTTTGGTTTCATAGCTCGATGGGCAACGTTTCTCATGCCGGTCTGTATAAGCTCAGTTGCAGAGAATCTGAATAGTTAATCCTATTGTTTTATACTTGAAGTGAATCTGAATAGTTAATACTATTGTTTTAATAGTGAATTTGAATATGTTAAGAGACGAGATCAGAGACTTGAGGTATACAGAGGAAAATTTGACCATGATCCAAGTTCATGGGTGCACTTCGAACTTGAGATACAGTTATCCTTATTCATATCTCAGACACTGAGCCAAAGTTACAATGAACATCCCAAATTACCAGTGCATTAACGTGAAGAGTTAGAAATGCGACTTTAGCCAAATTTGTCCCTTGTGCTGTTAATACAGAGTTGTGGGTTCAAATTCAATAATGCTATTTGTACATTTGGGGATGACACCCTCCTCACATGAGTGGGCTTGCGATTATTTTGTTACGTGCAGGCCCTATCCCCATGTGAGGGGAGTGTCAACCCGAATGTACACATAGCATGATTGGTTCAAATTTCATCACCCTCATTTATGAAAATTTCACGTGTCATGACCTTAATGTTTGAGGGATGTGTGAAAAGCCAGTTTTAAGCTGTGGTGTACAGTTTCTAGAGTCATCTTTCTGTCCATCCATAAATCAGAAAAGGTAACTTAAGAAGGGTTTGCAGAACATCGTCATCTACATAACATTTTATTTTACAAAGCAAAATTCACACGCTCAAAATCCCATAGTAATAATCAGAAGTTGACCATAATTTACTACTGGCGGTGATATCAGAGACCCCTTCACAGCGCACCATCACCTGCATGGAGGAGCATCTGATCGAAGTGCCACACTCCTGCATATGCACAAATAAATACAGTGCTCATAAGAATGAGAATAAGGAGAAACTTAATTATAGTCTATAAACTAAAGAAGCTGAAATCAGCATGTTAGAAGCAATCATACCGTGTCCTTTTCCTACCATCCTCAACTGAGTGACATATTCTGCAACTTTCTTAATGGCTTCGACCTGGAAATGTGGGAAAAAACTTGAAAGTATTCTAGTCCCGCAGACCTGTATTTTGTTTAATTTCTACCTACTCGTGCACATTACTTGTATGATCATGCTTGCGTGGGTAGGGCATGTCTCTCATTATAGAAGTGATTTCACTAGAACATGCTGGAAGAGGAAGGATAGATGAAAACTAACTCGTTTCATTGTGGTTGTTAAGGATCTAGCTCATTTAGGACTTCCGATTACGTAGCAGTGAGTCAAAAGGAGTCACAAAAAAGATAGAAAAAGTATAAACATTCAAACCTGCTGCCTCCTTTAGGGGGAGGGGTGAAATCCTTTGATTCCCATTTAATGAAAGAATGGAAAAATAAAAAAAGTTTACCTGCTCCTGCAAATATTCAGTCTGTATGAAATCTGATAGCTGGGGATCATTGTTGCTATCAGCAACCTGCCAAGTCAAGGATAAAAATCATGTCATAAACTGTGACAAAGTTTTACGCTTATTGACAGCCTGCTGCAACGTTCCTCTATTTGAGCTTGGGACAAAATTTAAAATAGACTGAGAATCAGAAAATGACAGCACAAAGAGGTAAGAGAATCCTTACACTGTGAAGTTTCAGAAGTTTCTCATTTGTTAACTTCTCCAAGGATAATGCTAGTTCCATTGCTGAATCAAAGAGTCAAAAATAGGAAAAATCAGAACTACTCATTAGGAAAAGACGCAAAATCAAGAGTCAATGTCTTTAACACTTGTGCCGTATGGTTTGTTGAGCGTCAGAAACTTACCATACAGTGCATCACCCTTCTCCGCATGATCAAAATCCGCAGGGGGCATTAGTATAGAGTGCAACTTCACTCTCCCTCCTCGGATGTTCTATTATTGTCAATATCAAAAGAAAAGCATATTATACTTGCATCCAAAAACAAAATAAACCCCATATCTTAAATGTGAGCCCCTGTTTGCTACAAATTAAAATCTAATTCCATCATTTTTTATCAAAATCTACTAAAAATCTGATTTTAATCTACAACGAACAAGGGCTTCAGAGTAATCTTATATATGTTTACTGTGGGATGCTAGACTGTTTAGCCGACTCTAAATTTATTGTGAATGAGGCTTAGTTTGATGAATTTGTTACCTGATATTTCATTAGTTTTTGTGCATGATCTCTTTCTTCCTCACTTGAGTCCTTAAAAAATCTGACCACAATATATTTAATAAAATCAGAAAAAAGGGAAAAAAAGAAAGAAAGAAAAAGGAAAAGGATAAACAAGACACTAAGAATTGTTTTAGTTACTTGGCAAGGCCTTTCAAAGCAACATTGTCCCTGTCAAAGTATGCATACATGGAGTGGTACACATAAGAGACGTTGTACTCCACGCTGAGAAAAACCACAAGAAAACGTTAGCAGCAATCCCTATAAATCTTAGATAACAAGGATATTGTATATTTGTTTTTATCTATACACTAAACCAATTTGTCGACACAATTTATGTATAATCATCGATGTATTGTAACAACAAAGATCAGTTGAAGTGTGATAATGTTCTTAAAGGAATAGTTTTTTTTCATTAGACGGTATATGGAAGTATTCTTACTAATCCTCTAGTATGACAACAAACTCATGATTAACTAAATTCCCAGCATCCTTAACATCACAACATGAAATATAGGTGACTTTGACACTTCAATTCAACTAGACCTTTGTCTTGATTCCATGCTAAATTATGTCATTTAAAGATTGAATGAACTTCAACAAATAGGACTTCCTATTAAACATTTTGAATCATATTTTGAAAAATAATTGGTCAAGAACTTACTTGATCTGCTCATTAATTGCGGCCTCACACTCTTCTATGAACCTCTGGCGAGCAAGTGATACGTTGGGAACTACGGGGACCATAAAATCATCCCTCTTAACCTCTTCAAATGGCTGAAACACCACACCAGTTAGTTGCATACTAGCAGTTCTAGACGAGGCATAACAAGCGAAACCATCATCGCGCTTTCTTGACAAAGCAAGACTGGAGGAAGAAGAGTAACAAGATGGTGGAGTTAAAGAGCCATTGGCACTAGCTGATTTTAGAAGGGATCCAAGATTAGAACCCTGCAGAGAAAAAGCTGAAATTGATTCAAGAAACATTTCCTTAGAAAGGGATCAGAACCCACAATTTAGATTAGATTAATCAAGTAATTTGGGGTGCAAATGTTGAGGTGCAAATGGTTGAATTATATAGGGGAGTTAAAGAACATGGAGCTGATTTTTGGCCGATGAACTTGTAACACGTAGAGGACGAAAACGGGTCCATGTGGACAGGGCGTGTGTCGAACTCGTTGCCTTATCCAGTATCTTGTCGAATCCAAGGTAATAGATGCCAAATGAATCACTGTCGGTAGTTGGAATTCGGAAAAGTGGTGGAGGATTTAGTCTTTTTGTGTTTGTGGGCTATTTTTTTACTAGAAGTCTACAAAATTACAATTACTCGTAAGAATGTAACTGTGAGCACGTGAATGTTGAACTGTGTATCAATAATATCTTTTGTTGAAATTTGGCACTTGATATTTGATAATGGAATGGCATTCCTTTTTATTAATATCAAGTTAGGTATTTAGCCCATGTTTGAGTCTCATTTTTTATTTTGGTTGAAAATAAGTTTTGTCATAGTATATTTATGGCAAATGTGTGGTTAAAAAAGTCGAAAAAAAAATCTGAATTTACGTACAAAATATATTATTAGAAAAATGTATATTTAAAAATGAGTTTGAACAGAAATAAATTGTTAGATAATGAGATTCAAACGGGAGCTTAGTACTGGATAATATTTTATGTTAATATCATGGAGGTGATGATACAATCAATTATATATCGAAATTTCGAGCTCAATGTACAAAAGCACCAGTGGTCTAGTGGTAGAATAGTACCCTGCCACGGTACAGACCCGGGTTCGATTCCCGGCTGGTGCATTCTTTCCTTTTTACAGATCTCACGAAATGAAGAAAGAGAAGAAAATGAGAATAAGAAAAAAATGAATGTCAAACAAGGGCTCTTAAGCACGATCCAAGGAGAGGGCAATGGGGGAATCAAAACTTTTGCATGTTCATCCACTTCCTATATTTGAAATAATTTCTTATGGAAAGACCCTTTTTTAATTGGTTTCTTTTGGGTTCGTATCTCAAGAGAATCTGAGGGAGATAGCCATTAGAAGATTATATTAATAGAATAAGAGAAGATGCCATTCTTTTTATATTCTTTTTACTATCCCCAAGCTTAGAGATAATATTTGAAATTACTACAGTTACATGTGTGATGTCTTCTTCCTTCTGTCTATGCTACTTGTATTTAGCAATGCTATACAGATCTTGACTTGCATAAAGTTATTACACACTGCTGTTTTCGGTTGCTATCGGAATCGAAAGGTCAAGCAAATCGTGGCAACCTACTCGAGCGAGGGATTTGGAACCGACAAATTTTGATAACAGTTGTGGATCCCATGAAATGCGTAGTTAAATTTGAAGTTTGACCAAGCTTGTAGATTTACTAGTAGACAAAAGAAAATCGCGGGAGGAAATGTTTACGAATTTATTGCCCCAAGTTCATGCCACGTGATATTTAAGTTTTTCTAGCAAAGAATGAGCTGTATAAGTATTGACTTTTTTGAGAAATGATTCTTACTGATAATTCAGAATCACTTAAGATTAACAGCTAAGTGCCATGTTTTAAGCACCCTTAATAAAAAAATTGAATAATTACATGTTCAAATTCTTTGCTCCTTGTTGATTTAGCTTGAATGAGGTTGGAGCAAATGACAAAAACACAGAAATTAGTCCTTGGATCATGGAAATTTCATTTCATTGCATTTATCCTCCTCATAGCCTTTGTGATTGCTACTCTTTTTCTAACTCGGGATAGTCGACGCTTCCTGGAACAGCAGACGACGCCTAATGATTCTACTCCGAGCTGTGATTTGTTCTCAGGCAAATGGGTTTATGATAACATATCTTACCCTCTGTACAAGGAGAAACAATGTTCTTTCGCGGAGGACGCCTTCACGTGCGAGAAGTATGGTAGGAAGGACTTAAAATATCAGAAATGGCGCTGGCAGCCTCATGATTGTGACCTTCCAAGGTTCTCCCTTACCTCTCATTTACACACACACACACACACACAGAGTGTTAATAAATTAATCGAACACGAAGTTTGCAGTTGGCAGTTGATGGTTTTTCTGTTATATCAAGGTTCAATGCAACTGCATTGTTGGAGAAGTTGAAAGGGAAGAAGCTTTTGTTTGTAGGGGATTCCTTGAATCGAAATCAATTCAATTCGATGCTTTGCCTAATTGAGCCATCGATCCCTCCATCAACGTCTAAGTCCCTGATCTGGAAAGGCAACTCCATCATCTTTGAGGCCACTGTAAGACAATTTTCCCTTTTTCTTGAAATTCAGAACCAAGCTATTGCTAATATATACAATTTTTCACAATTGACTTTCTGATAGTTATATCATTTACAATGATCATGATTTTTCTTGTTAAATCCATGAAGGAGTACAATGCCACGATCGAATTCCATTGGTCCCCTTTGTTGGTTGAATCTAATTGCGATGACTTAGTGAACCATCGGGTACAAACTCGTATAATTAGAGTCAAGGCAATTGAAAAGCATGCTAGGCAATGGACAGATGCAGATATACTCATATTTGATTCCTTTATGTGGTGGTTGAAGCCAAAAATGACACTTCTGTGAGTACATTCTATGAAACTATGAATGTGATGCAATTCTTGTTTCTTTTTTCGTTTTCTTTCCCATAAACTGTAACTCAGATATGTTATACTTGATTAGATGGGGATCATTTGGAAGCCCCGATGCAATCTACAAAGAAGTCGGGATGAGGCATCGTCGCTTTGAAATGGCTTTGAGCACATGGGCAGATTGGATGGAATTCCACATTAACAGAAACAGAACAAAGTTGTTCTTCATGGGCTCCTCACCTTTTCACTTTGTGTATGTTAATCACTTCTCTTTTGGATACAATGAAAATTAGAACAGAAAAATGGCAAAAACTCTGGTCAAATAACATGATTATATGATTCATTAACACTGCAGAGGTAAAGATTGGGGCATGGATACAGGTCGAAATTGCTATAATGAAACTGAGCCAATTTTTGATGAGGGATATTGGGGAAGTACGACGGATCGTGGAATGATGCAGATAGTGGAATCAGCAATATATGAGCTCGAAACAAGAGGTTTAAAGGTAGATTACCTGAATATAACACAGTTATCAGATTACAGAAAAGATGCTCACCCATCTATCTATAGGAGGTATTATACGTCTTTAACCGAAGAACAATCAGCAAAACCTGAGAGCCGTTCAGACTGTGTGCATTGGTGTCTTCCAGGAGTGCCTGATGTTTGGAATGTGATCCTCTATTCCTACATTATGAGTTCATGATTGTTCTTATATTAAAGAGACATAAATTTTTGATAATTTGTTGTATACGCCTTACAGCACAGATTTGATTCCTGAAAATTATATATTTTTAGCAGATTCTTTTGCAATCTCTGTTGTTTGATTCTTCCAATTTTTTTGCATTAAAAGATTCAAAGCTCTTAGATACTTTCATCTCAGTTGGCATACAAATGTTGGAAGACTAAACAACTTTTGTACTTTAGTGTTTCTCAATGTTGGTGTAACTTAGTGAACATATAGGTGCCACCGTTGCTCTATCAATTGTGATTTACATGAACCGAATTCAAAGATTTACTGAATCTCACTCTACGCTTTGACATCTTCAAAGTTCAACCTTTTTTCTTCTTGTCACTAGCCACGGTTTCTGTCTTGGCCACTTCACAACGAGGCAGGTCGATCGACTGCTTAGGATGATGATGGCGCAGATGGCGTCTGCTGGGATGAGACGAAGCATCTTGAGATATATGGCTCGAGGGGCTTCGCTGGCTGCACCTCCTATTGTTCCCAGATATGGCCCATTGGAGTGCAATTTCTCCAGCACGGTTTTTATCTGCGCATCTCCTCCTTCAACTGCTGGATGTCCCTGTCGGAGTTATTCTTCCAGTCATTCTTTCTCCTCTGGCAACGAATAACCCGATGAAGGTCTAGGCTGTCTACTGAAACTTCTGCATGGGAGGATTCTTCCATCCGTTCACGCTAGTTTCTACCTTCTACCATTATTGACTGTAATCCGATTGCTGAAAAAGATTTTGTCGTTGGCTTTTTCTTTGTTTTTTCAACAGTGATTCCAGTATGAATTTACAGCTGAAAGGGCCGCCTATCTATTGACCTTAAAAAATGAAAATTCACAGACACGTCTCTGTCTACTCATATGTTACATGTACACTCGAACAATCAGTTAAACGCCAAGATGACCATTCTAGGAAAAAGAGTTGGGACTGTTGGTACTTCGACGGTCAAGTCAAGTGCCGATATATAAGAATATAAGGGAGGTTGGGTGGGGAAGAGACAAACAAGTAGAAATTTGTCTTGAAACTCTAGATGAACGTGTGTTTGTTTATTTACAAGAGAGGAGTCTGTGTGCAATTAGATTTAATAAGGTAAAATCCATTTATATGATATTTTTCCTTGTCGGATCTCCTTTTAAATCTTACTTAATCATCGACTACTAACATTTCCCATCCTGTCCCGAATCACCATAGGTGACCGAAATGTGACGTGTACCGATGGTGGATGCTAGCTAGGCACCGGATCCACCACCAATGCTAACTTTGACCTACTTTGATTACAATGGATTTAATAAAAATTTGGCAAAGTTTCCCCTATAAATTGAACAAAATCAACATAAAAAGCAACAATCCCAGAAATATATTATCTCAAGAATAAGCCTTGCCATACAGAAACGAAAACATACAGGGTAGACACAACATACGGGGCCCCACATTTTTTAATAATATTTTAATCAGGTGGGACCCACATCCATGTGAGTCTTCGGTAAAACCTCAGTCAATGGATTTCTGTACATTCAGTTTAATTGTTATCTCAAAGATACAGGTGGCCTCTTTTCCATCTAAGTTATCTAACACATACTAACCAAAACCGCGAGTAACCGGTTCAATCATTTTAATATAATTTACAATACAATCCAAATGAATATAAAACTAAAAAACACGCAGCGAGTCCATATGCTTAATTGATAAGGGAATTTCTAGAATTCATTCTTCCAATATGACCAAGATTTTGAGCCTCATCATATGAATTTGGTCTGTCGATCCAACACTTCAACCTTTCATCCTGCAAGGATGGTTTGACACAGAGGCGAGGCTTGAACTTGCCAACCATTAGTTTGAAGACCATAAGGAATGATATTGCACCATATAGAGAAGATCGTGGTTAGGGAGACGTGGGGTATGAGGATCCTTGCCTACACGGCTTCCACATGGACCCAGGGTTTAACAAAAGTTAAACCTTTTTCGGTAAAATTGCCGGGAATTGAATTTAAACAGTCAAATTTGGCTAAAAATTGTATCTACATTGAAATAATGCAACCTTAAATAAAAACGCCTTTTTTCCTCATAATCCTACACTTCAATAGCTGTAACCCTGTGCAAGGCCATGGCTTATGGACAAAGAGCCACGTCCAAGGCTATATATGTTGTCTTCAAGTAACTATTTTACACGTCTATGTCAATATGCTTCTCCAGTTCTCCTTCCAAATTATGCTAATATCTTCTTCCTAATATTGTAAATATCATTTTCTTTTTCCAAGAGAGTTTGATTTCCAATCAGATATTCAATTTCCAGTTCCTTTTTGACTGAGTGCTGCACCTTTTGGAACAAAAAGTCATTTCTATCTTGGTAGGTAGTTGATCAAAACTTTTTGACACTAGAGGGAGCAATAGTCTCTTAAGGATACTGAAGTAGTTGGGTTCAGATTCTAGAATTTGTAGAGAATTCTGGAATTTGCACTTTAAGTTCACGATTCATTTATGTACTTGATTTGATTTAACTGCTCATTACAATATGTGGTAACAACAGTTTTCTTATTTGGGTTCTAATCTAAGAGAGAAATGAGTTCGAAGATCGATAATAAGATGAGTAATTTTTATTCGTTTTACTATCCCTATGCTCAGAGATTTATTATAAAGTACTTGATTGCCATTTTCATGTGTGATTTCTTCTCCCTATTGTTGTAATGCTACTTTCATTTTTAAAATGCTGCTCAGGTGTTGACTTGCATAAATTATTTGAAACTGTTGATCCCCTTGCTACCAGATGCAAAAGGTCAAGCCTATTTAGACAACCCACTAGTTGGCGAGGCGAGGGATTTGGTTTGCATCCAACCCGTTTATTTAACCAAGTTTAATGAGAGGGCATGTGTTGAACCATTGGATCAAATAGATTAAGCTGTCGCAGAGGCTACATGTATATTATTTAAATCTTATCTTCAATACAGGAGAGATTCATTTTTTCCATCAAATCCTTAACACGTGCACAGTTCATTGTCTGTTTCACTGAATAATTCAATCACGTGACTTTTACAGCTAAGCGCCATGTTTAAGAAAAACTGTTTAGGCACCCCTAAACAAAGGAAATAACAGTGCCTTCAAGTTCTTTGCTCCGTGTCAACTGAGCTTTCTGGATATGCACAACAAGGTAGTTGAATGAAGTTGAGCAAATGGCAAGCACACATAAATCGGTTCTTGGAACGAAAATTAGATGCATCTTTCATTTCACTGTAGGCATCCTCCTCGTAGCATTCATATTTGCTTCTCTTTGTCCAACTGGGGAAAAACGACTCTTCCTGGGACAGCAGATGCCACCTACTGATTCTATTCAGCTCTGTGACTTTTTTTCGGGCAAATGGATTTATGATAACATATCTTATCCTCTGTACAAGGGGAAACAATGTTCTTTCGTGGAGGATGCCTTTGCATGTGAGAAGTATGGTAGGAAGGACTTGGAATATCAGAAATGGCGATGGCAACCTCATGATTGTGACCTTCCAAGGTTAGATTCTTAACTCTTATTTACACAAATAAACACATAGCATTAAGAATTAATTAACCCAGTAGTTTTCAGAAATTATATTGATGGTTTTCTGTTATGGCAAGCTTCAATGCTACCGAATTGATGGAGAAGTTAAGGGGGAAAAAGCTTGTGTTTGTAGGGGATTCCTTGATTCGAAACCAATTTGGGTCGATGCTGTGCCTAATTGAGCCATCGATCCCTCCATCATCATCTAAATCACTGATCCTGAAAAGCAACTCCATCATCTTTAATACAACTGTACGTAAGAAAACTTCCACTCTTTCTCGGAATTCAGAATCAAGCTGTAGTTATATATTCATTTTTTCATAGTTTGCTTTGCGATGGTTAAATCATCTGCAATGATCATGATTTTCTTGTTAAATCGATGAAGGACTATAATGCAACGATCGAATTCTATTGGTCTCCCTATCTGGTTGAATCTAATTGTGATGACATACTAAACCATCGGATACGGGATCCTATAATTAATATTAAAGCAATTGAAAAGCATTCTAGGCTTTGGACGGATGCAGACATACTCATATTTGATTCCTTTGCATGGTGGCTGTCTCCAAAAGCAACACTTCTGTGAGTACATACTATGAAACCGAGAAGATGCTGCAAATTTTTGTTTTCCTTTTCTTTTTCTTTCCAATATAATGTGATCCTAATGCTTTACTGGTGATAAGATGGGGATCATTTGGAAGTTCTGATGCAATCTACAAAGAAGTCAGGATGAGGCCGCGTTTCTTTGAAATGGCTTTAAACACATGGTCAGACTGGTTAGAAATCCACATTAACAGAACTGGAACGAAGTTGTTCTTCATGAGCCTCTCACCTTATCACCCCCTGTATGTTAATTAGTTCTCTTCAGTTGCAAAGAAAACTGGGTTTGCTTCATAGAAAAATCACGAAAAAAATGCTCATTAACTAACATGATTCATTATCACTGCAGAGGTGAAGAATGGGGCAACGATAGAGGTCAAAATTGCTACAATGAAACTGAGCCAATTTTGAAAAAGGGTCATTGGGGAAGTTCAACAGATCGTGGAATGATGCAGATAGTAGAATCAGTAATCCACAAGCTCGAAATGAGAGGTTTGAAGGTACAATACCTCAATATTACTCAGTTGTCAGATTACAGAAAAGATGCTCACCCATCTATCTATAGGGAGTTTTGGATGAATATAACTGAAGCACAATTAGCAAACCCCGCGAGCTATTCAGATTGTGGCCATTGGTGTCTTCCAGGTGTTCCTGATGTTTGGAATGTGATTCTTTATTCCTACATTATGAATTCATAATAGTTCATTTATTACAAGAGCCACAAGAATTTATAAAGTGTTGTATAAACCTTTTACAGATTTAATTCTTGAACTCCAGCGGATTAATCAAATTCCTTTGTAGTGTTTGTGTATGGTTATTTCGATTTGGTTGCTTTAAACATTTACATATCATAGATACTTTTATCTCAGTTGGCATACAAGGATCGGAAAACGAAACCAAGTTATACTATTGTGTTTTTTGAGTGTTTATGTAATTGGATATTCTAGAGGATAGTTTATGTACACAAATTATGAGCGAAATGTAAAAGAGTGAGTCCTTTTACTCGAGTTTGAGCGACCCTTCTCCTCTCTGAACCAGTCTAAAATCCCAAGGTATTTTGATTATCACACTCTCGATAAATATTCATTTGCGTTGAATTGTGGCTTTGAAGAACGTAAAATATTATGATTCTAGATATTGACCTGAATCAAATTGAGAAAAAACTAATATGATTGGTTGATTAAAATTTTGATTCGATTGTTTTATATTATTTTATTTATATTTAAAAAATGCTAAATTGATATGTTGAATATTGAGAAGATATTGTAGATGTGAAATGTATTTTTTTATATAATGCTTCTCCATGTATTCATGTGTCATTCTTTCTCATTGATAAACTATATTGCACTTAGCTTGCACTTCCTATTTTTAAAATAGTTTATACAGAAAAATCCATTACCAGATTGCATTACTAGAACAACAACCGATGCCAATATTTTTATTTTCATTTTACTATCCCTTTGCTTAGAGATTACTCTTAAAATACTCCAATTCCATGTGTGTTGTTTCTTCTTCCTTTTTGTTAATGCTGCCTTGTATTTATAAAATGGTGGTGTGTAGAAGATCAAAGTTGAGATGTTAAGCAAAACATATAAGAGACAACAACCCTCAGCCGATGTCCACGGGAAAAAATAAAAAGAACTTTCACTAGAAAAAATTAGAATACAAAAGAATATCACCGCGAATACATATTGGGGGCAATACAAAAAGAGTACAAAGTACTCAAAGTAAAATCCTCCTCCAAAAGTACTTGTAAAAGGTGAAACTATTGAGGTGAAACTATTAAGGGATTCCAAAAATCGATATTCTGTGTGGGATTGCACGATTTCAATTCATATTGTACATGTGATTTATTTAAGGCCATAACTAGCCTCCTTTTGGCAAAATTTATAAGTCAAACTTCATTTTCAACCGTACATTTTAATAGATTCACAAGTATTATCCAGTTATGCGCCACTCATTTCAATCTTTCTGTAAATTAAGCTGTTTATAAATTCTTCCCAAACCGAAGCTAAAATCTCCACATTGGCTTCAATTGTCGACAGCCTTAAAATGTGAATTCTTTAAGCATCTTGTCCATGAATCTTCCTATGTCTTCCCCAAAGTGAATCTTCCAACGTCTTCTCCATCACTTCTTACCAAATTTCTCATCTTCAACGTTGCTTCTATAGCTCTCTACCTTGGCTCTGATACCACTTGTTTTGCAGAAGTCCCAAGATTGGTTATGACCTACATAGGTTATTTGGCTCTATTGTTTCTCCCATGCTACCAGAAACACAAGGTCAATCAAACAAAGGCAAACTTTAAGTTGGTTGCTCCTAAATTTAAAACTGGATTTTGGTTTGGACTCCGACCCATTTATTAAAATTAGAAAAGAGGGCACACAAGTTTAAAGTCCGACATAGACTCGACCTCAATAGGACAAAGTTTGCAGTCAGGTTTGGAGGGATACATAAATTAAACCTCCAATGCTAGACAAAAGATGGATAAAACTTAATGCAAATGTGCTCTACATTTACTTGTTGATTAATAATTGATTTGCCTACAATTCATACTAGTTGACTTTAAGGTTAAAACAAGCAATGAGTTGTTATTCTTTCTTTAAGAAATGATCGACAAGCTTACTTAATAATGAAACCAATCCAGATTAACAACAAAGCACCGTTTATAAGCAAATTAATTATTTATGCACCCTTAAACAAAAGCTTGAAATATGCATGTGTTCAATTTCATCGCTCCTTGTTGATTAAGCTTATAAAGCACAACAGGGGAGTTGAGTGAAGCTGACGAAATGGTGAACACAAAAAATTTAGTTCCTGGAACATTGAAAATTAGATACAATTTTCATTCAATTTCAGGCCTCCTCCTCATAACCTTTGTGATTGCTATTGTCAATCTAAAAGGGGACATTCGACGCATCCTTAAACTGCAGACGATTCCTAATGATTCTATTCCACACTGTGATTTGTTTTTTGGGAAATGGGTTTATGATAACATATCTTACCCTCTGTACAATGACAAACAGTGTTCTTTCATGGAGGGTGCCTTTGCCTGTGAGAAGTATGGTAGGAAGGACTTGAATTATCAGAAATGGAGATGGCAGCCGCATAATTGTGACCTTCCAAGGTTCTCTTTTACCTCTCATTTGCACACGGCAAGAATTTATGATTGATTATAAAATTTGTGCTTGACAGTTTTTGGCAAATAAATCGATGGTTTTTCTGTCTTGTAAAGGTTCAATGCTACAGCACTGTTGGAGAAGTTAAGGGGGAAGAAGCTTATATTTGTAGGGGATTCATTGAATAGAAACCAATGGATTTCGATGCTGTGCCTAATCGAGTCATCAATCCCCCCATCATCATCTAAATCAGTCATCTGGAAAGGCAACTCCTTTATCTTTAAGATCACTGTAATACAAATTTTCCGTTTCTTGAAATTTTAATATTTACTATCTTTCACATTTCACTTTCTGATAGTTAAAACTTCTACAATGATGATGATTGTCTTATCATATCCATGAAGGACTACGACGCCACGATCAACTTCTATTGGTCTCCTTTGCTGGTTGAATCTAATTCCGATGATATAATAAACCATCGGGTTGGAAGTCGTTCAGTTAGAGTTAAGGCAATTGAAAAGCATGCTAGGCACTGGACGGATGCAGATGTACTAGTATTTGATTCCTTTGCTTGGTGGTTGGAGCCGAAAATGATACTTATGTGAGTATTCTAAGGGACAAAGAATATGATGCAAACTCTTGTTATGTTTTACTTTCTCTTTCCCATGCACTGTGATTCTAATACTGTACTGCTAATCATTTGGAAGTACTGATGGAATCTACAAACAAGGCGAGATGAAACTGCGTGGCTATGAAATGGCTTTGAACACATGGTCAGACTGGTTGGATATTCACATTAACAGAACTAGAACAAAATTGTTCTTCATGAGCCTCTCACCTTTTCACAGTTCGTACGTTAATTACTTCTCTTTGTCACACTACAAAATTCAGCTTGCACTGTAGAAATATGACAAAAATACTAGTTAATAACATGATATATTGACACTGCAGGGGTGGAGATTGGAGCATGGATACAGGTACAGGTCAAAATTGCTACACTGAAACAGAGCCAATTTTGTACGAGGGGTATCGGGGTGGTCAAACAGATCATGAAATGATGCAGATAGTAGAATCGGCAATACACGAGCTGGGAATGAGAGGTTTAAAGGTAGAGTACCTCAATATAACACAGTTATCAGATTATAGGAAAGATGCTCACCCTTCTGTATATAGGGAGTTTTGGGATCCTCTAACTGAAGAAAAATTAGCAGATCCCAAGAGATATTCAGATTGTTTGCATTGGTGTCTTCCAGGAGTACCTGATGTTTGGAATTTTATTCTTTATTCCTACATTATGCGTTCATGATACTTCATATATTGCAAGAGCCAAAAAGAATTTATAATTTCAGTACAAGCATTGAAGATTTGTTTCCTGAAAGATCTGTCGAATTCAATTGCAGTCTGTTATTGTTTGATTCTTTTGGTTTTGTTGCTTTAAAAGTTACATATCTCCTAGATGCTCTTATCTCAGCTGGTCAGTGTTGGCGGATTATATATAATACAGACGGGAGTTGCTTTGATTGATTGCTTGCATTAGTGCATAGCTTATGGATAATCATTATAGCGGTGAATTTCTAAATCAAATTTGTGTATTTGTATTTCTTCGAGTATTTTAAGTATTATGTACATGTATAAAAGTGTGTTCTCATACTTGTTACTATTGGGATTGATGCCCAATACTATTAGTACATGACTGTTATAATTATTGAACATTTTGATTTTGTCGTTAAATAAATATTTGTTATTTATTTTTGTTTGTTCTAAATAATTATTGCATTTATAAATATGAGCATCGATCAAGTGCCTTTGATCGCGTGGTGATGATATGAGTTTTGTGTTCGTAAGCACAACTAGATATAACTCATATTTCAATCGAGAATTGATTTGTCCTGGGTTACATATATTCTAATAAGGTCGTGAGGTTACATATGTATAGTCTACCAATTGGGATACGTGGTTTATCTTGACATTTCCGTCATGAGCATTAACACTAGTACACTTATTATATCTTGAACTGTATTGGACATGATCATTGTATAGATTAATTTCTATAGCGTGACCATGCATAGAAATTAATGTTCACTTGTTTGTTTTATGAATTACCTAAATCCGCTAATGAGTAAGGGTTGCTATTCGTGAACTCAATGTTCTTTGGTGTGCCAATGAGTGAGATCAAATTACATGATGAAATATATCGGTAGGTTGGGAGTGACAAGAACAGAAGTAGTGAGCACGTATTTACGTTCGAAATTCATCACCTTGTCAGATAGGTTAATGAGTTCGCTTAAAGTTTTCTTTAGAGAGCAGTTTATATCTGATCTAAGCATCTAGAGACTCTTAAATCATTATTCCGTGTCTGTATCACCAAGAAACTTCATGAAAATTAAAAACAAATATATGTATATATATAGAGAAATGGAATAATAATACTTCTATGATTTTTTATATTTTAAAATTTCAGTTTGTCACTCTTTTAGAGAAGTGAGCGGAAAGCAGGGGCTGACCTACATGAGGCCCAGTGGGGGCCGTCGCCCCCACTCAATTTTCAAATTTCCCGATTTTTCTTCAGATTTTTTTAGTTTTTTTTGTCCAGTTTTTTTCGGGTTTTCAATTTTTTTTTTCCAAGGATTTTTGGTTTCTCTCTCACTGAACTTCCTTTCTGAGTCCGCCCCTGGCAGAAAGTAATAATTGTTCTGTGCGGTCTTGAATCTGCCTGGCGGTGGTTCAAATGTTCCTCAAACCCGTGGTTCGGCATATTTTAAGACCTCTCAAAAAATGCATTCAATTCGGCGTCTAGAGTTGTGTGATATCCATAAGATTCACAAAAGGCGAAAATATAATTACCCAGATTGCGTTCGTTAGTTAAATCATAAAAGTGTTTGATTTGAATCGTGTTTTCGGAAAATTTATAAATAATCATGTATTCAGTGCATTTTGTGAAGTCAAGCTAAGAAATCAAAGTTTTCAGTTGTGTTTTAGATTTTAACTGATTTACCGATCAAGTAAATAGCACAAGAGCACAAACAATTTTATGTGATTTTGCAACAGCCTATTTTTACATGCCACAGCTAACTATCGAAATATTTATTAAGTTTAATAGGTTGAAGACATAATATTGTTAGACAAAATAACAGTAAAGTGCAGAAAAACTTATCAACAGATCGAGTCTCGTGACAGCACGATGTCCTAAAGCGAAATTGCCCGTCGATAACTGCTGCGACCTCTGTGGACAATCACCTCCAGGATACAACGATCAAATAAACCAATTGTGCAGCAATAACCCAAGAGCCCCCAAGGCCCAATCAAAGACTTTTTAATATAGTGCGTGAGGCGTGGCTCGAACACCTGACCTCCCACACAAATTGCACACTTTTCACCAGTTGGACACTTCATCTTAATTAGTTATTTCTTTCACATATTATATTTATTGTATAAATATATAACAAATTTTTAGTAAGATTTTACCATTATTTGGCTGAGCTGTCTCTTGCTGGGTGGGATCAATAGATAGAAAGGACATTGGGCGCATGGTACTTCTTCAACCTTTTCTCCGAGGGACAGTCGTAAAAAATGATGAAATGTATTGTTTAAAAGTTGATAAAATTGTGGGTCCTATGGAATGTGTGTTTAAAATTAATTCTTGACTTTAGACTTGGATTTTTATCCAATTTTTTAGCTAAATCAAAAAGAGGCTTAATAAGAAAGCTCATAATCCACTACATGCGGAGATAGCAAGAATGTGTTATACATTAAGGTTACCTTTTCATCTTAGACCAGAGCTCTGCGAGTTGCTACACCTTTTTGTTACCAATAACTAGTATCTAGTCACATGCTACTCTACAAGTATCTCAGAGAGAAAGGGAATTAGTATTGTGAGTTAAGGATGGAGCATCTATGAAGAATCTTAGAGACGGAGAGAGCCAAGCCATTAGAAGATTGAATCAATAGAATAAGAGTGGAATCCATTAAATTTATTTTCTTTTTACTTCCATTACTCCATTGCCATGTGCTATGCCTTCTTGCTTTTGTTAATGCTACATGTACGTATTTATTAAATGCTTTACACATGTAGACTTGCACGAGTTATTTGACACTGCTATTTTAATATCAGAAACGGAATGAAAGGTGAACTACTAGTTGGTTACTCCTAAATCTAAAACCATCATTTGGTATATATATATATATATCTACTTGTTTATTAAAATAAGAAAGATGTAATGCAAACAAGTTCAACGAGATGGTATAGACTTCGCCTCCAATATGAAGACAAAGGAAAATGACAGCATACAACTGTTACTGACTGGTCGCTCCTAGTTCGTGCTTCATAGACGTTGATCATCATATTCCAACAAAAAATGATTGCTTTCCAAAGAAATGATTGATTGTGTCAAAAAATAATTTAAAACCATGTGACCATGTAAGATAACAGCTAAATACCATGTTTAAGGAAATTCTTTAATGCGCCATTAAACAAATACTTGATACATATATCTTTTCAAAATTGTTGTTCTGTGTTGATTAAGCTTTCTAGATAATGCGCAACCAGGGAGTTGAATGAAGTTGAGAAAACGGCAAGCACCCAAAAAATAGTTCTTGGAACAATGCAGGTTACATTCAATTGCAGTCTTCCTCCTCACAGTCATTGTGATTGCTGTTGTTTATCTTAAAGGGGATAGTCAACACTTTCTTGAACATCAGAAGAGACCTGACGACACTATTCGGCATTGTGGTTTGTTTTTGAGATTTACGTAGTTCGACCCTAACAATACCTAGGGGGGGTGAATATGTATATTATGCGGAATTAATAATTAATAGCAACAAGTCACTAATTAATTATCTCTAGATAATTAAGCATACAATCCGATTATCATATGTTCAAATACCGCAGAATATAATGACAGTAAATAAAACAATAAATAATGCACGGTATGATCACGGAGAAACCCCAACTAGTTAAAACTCCGAGCACTTTGCTAATCAACAATCCATTATAAACGATTTATAACTTACAGTCTACCAAACTAGACGACGACACGTACTATCTGATCTCCTGACTGCAATTCAACAGCTCTTCTGGCATCTGTGCTCCTGCACCACTCCCGACCGCAATTTCCAAAGCTTTACTGGATTATGCTCTCCTGCAGCAACTCCTAGCTTTATGAATTCGTTTATCTCCTCTGGATTCACGAAGAACACCGCGTTATTCAACGACTGAAACTCCAGTCAACTTCCCTCGATTTTCAGCAACTCTGACAGATGCGGAGGAAAGAACAGTTTAGTATTTAGATTATGAAAGTGATATTTTTCTCACTAAAACAATCTCACAAGACGAAGGTTGAAATAAGGAATATGTAGGAATTCTATTTGATGAAGCTCTCTCAATGATCAACCTTCTCAAATCACGTTCAGATGTGTTTTGGTATTTAAAGGTAGGTTAGAAAAGTAATGGGCCAGGGAAAAAACCTTTAAATCGCGAAGTAAAAATTTCCCGGACGTCATTGTCGCTCGAGCGAGGGCTCAGCGACAGGCTGTCGCTCGAGCTAAGGCAGGGCGACAGTCGAGCAACGGAGGTTCTGTTTTTTACGCTCGAGCCAATCCACGGCGACAGTCTAGCGAAAATTCGAGCCGTATTTTCCTTCTTTTGCCATATTCGAACCCTAGACCTAAAAAACATATTTCATATAATTGCACATTACTCATTGACTTTTTACAACATTTACAATTAAGTCTCTTTTTCTTATAGAATTGCCAATTACATAATTAAAAACCTAACAAACTTCCTCTTTGGTATTCTGTGACAAAACTACTAACTAAAGTCAAGGCAGTAATCAAATATGAATTACAGACTCAAAAACCTATGACACAACTAACTGACTTGAATGAATTCTACATTTCAATCAGCACGTGTTTCCTAAAAAATAGACAACTCAACACCCAATGTGAAATGTGTGGAAAACAGTACAAGTAAAGCAGTTCAAGCAGTTTATAGAATATAGGCAATCTATGAAACATATAGTATTATTCAGTTTCAGTCATGTATGTTAAATCAAGACATAGTACCAATGCAACCCAGCATACCAAAAAGATACATCGATACTACTAAAATATCAAACTTAATTTAGCAGAACTGAAATTAAAATGTAAAATGCCTTTGAGTCAAAAGTCTTATATATATATCAAGAGTATTAATTACATCTAGAAAAATATACATCAAGTTAAGCATAAAGAAAAATCAAGATATACATATACTCCCCCAAACATTACATGTCACTCAAAAATAAATATACTAAAATAAATAATACTCCC